CCCCCAAAAAAAACTCCACCACCAAAGTACAGTGCAGTTAAAATATTCCATAATTTTAGAAAAGCCACTCAGCCAATCAAATTCAAGGATCAAGCGTATACTGTATATGTATCTCATTTGCTATACATATACTGCTACAAGTAAAATGGGACCCTTGTCATCAAAAACAACACCAATATATACACAATACCCACTGACTGAAACAACAGCTATCATTCATCTTGTCCTCCCCCATCTACACCGACCGTGGTGCTTGTTGGCGCGTCTGAGTCAGAAAGCAGCTAGGCGGAAAGGGAATATTGAGGGGAAAGGCTGGGCAGTGCTCACACCTTGATGCAGATATTAAGCAGATCTGTAGGCTGAGTACAGGAAAGCACCCTGCCGCGAGTGACTCATTTGCTCGGTCGTGGTAGACTAACTGTGAATCTCGAAGAGGAGATCAGCTGTTCAGAGATTTCAAAAGGGCCGTCTGTCCGCAAGTGCTGTTTCTGATCTTCTGCTTCTCTCCTCGCCACATGCCTTCTTCTCTCAACCTCCACCCCTTTCCTTTCTCCTACTGTATTTCCTCCTTTCCTCTCCTCCTTCAGAAACCCCTCTCACACTCATCTCACACCCTTAAACAATCACTCTCCACCCTCTGTTTTCACACTCACTCATTCCTCCTCTGATAATGCCTCTCTCTTTCTCTCAATCTGCAGGTGGAAGAATGGCCCTCTCGTTTATTCTGTCGCTTCTCCTCGGGTCTTTTTCCCTCGCCGTGGCCTCACGTAATACGACCGCAGGTAATGGAGAGAGCTGAAGTCTGTGTGTGAGAGCTTTGGTGTGTACTGTATGTGTGTGCTCTTATAATATGTGGATATGTAACTTTTTAATCAATGCTTGTTTCATGTGCATTTATAGTTTTCATTTGTAATTTGTTACAAAAGTTGTCCAAATGAAGTTCTTAACAATGCATATTACTAATCAGAAATGAAGTTTTGATATATCTAATTGTAAATATAATTTACAAAATATCTTCATGAAACATGATCTTTACTTAATATCCTAATGATTTTTGGCATAAAAGAAAAATAGATAATTTTGCCCCATACAATGTATTGTTGGCTATTGCTACAAATATACCCGTGCTACTTAAGACTAGTTTTGTGGTCCAGAGTCACATATATATTCATTATTAAAAGTACACTCAGTAATATGATGTTTCCTTTCAGGGTTGCCAGGTGTATGTAACAAAACCAGTCTAAATGGTTCTCAAAACTATCCCAATCACATTCCGGTGGAAAATGGCTATCAAAATTGCATTAAAATCATTCCAAATTCGCTTTCTTTCATTCTAAATTCTCCATTTCCTTCGCTTCAACCCACGATTAAAATAAACCCTGTGGCATCAGTAAAAAAGTAGCCCAATTCCTCGGGAAAACACTGTTTGCATTGCACTGGCCAATATGGTTTTATACTTATACTGACACCTAGTGGTGTGGATGCATCACTAAAAGCATATGTTTTTGGTTTGGTCACTGTTAAAATTAGCAGTCAGCTATTATTTATACGATTATTTATTTAGTTTGGTCATGTGGTTTAAAAATGGCCCCCATAAAGTGACCCACTCCATGTAAAATAAAACAGCTTTGACTTCATATTTGACTTCATTGACATGACTTCATATCACTGTTATTTTAGTATTGGTTATATATTGGTTATATGTTGTAGTATTTGTTAATATATTGAATTTGCTTCTTTATAAAAACGTTTCAGTTTTAGTCATTTTGTTATGTGCTTTTGTCATTTTTATTTTTGTAACTATTTTTATTTTTTAATATTTCTATCCACCTTTTAACTAACAAGCCAAACTGCGTTTTATATTATGGGAGACACTTTCAGTTTGAGGAAGTTCCAATTTAAAAAGACTGAAACAAATCATTTAAAATCATAAAGTTGCACTACAAGTCATCCTTATCCGTCAGTTCGACTGAATGAGCTGTACATTTTCCTTCATGTTCTATTTTTCAGACGGCAGGGGAATAATGTAATGCTTGGTATTTTAATGTGACATGATATAACAAGAATGTCTATGGCAAGAGCTCTTTTCACTCCGCTGCATTCTTTTCCTCCTGATTATTTTTTCTTTTGCAATTCCGCCGTAACAGCATGAAAAATGTGATTTAATTAACGATATTAACCATGAATAATTAATGGGAATGCCCTAAGAATATCTAATTTTTCTCTCCAAATCCTCATGTCTCTTTCTAGGTTTGTTTTCTCACTAATGCTTTCAAATGCAATTGTTACTTAATATAGACATATATTACTACAGTAAAATTTAACAAGTCCATACTATTGCTACAGAAATAGGCAATGTCTTTTGGTTTTATTCATGGTATGTTGTAATTTGTTAACAGTTTTACACTTTAACATTTTCTTTTAATGATCAGTGGTTGAAGGGTGAGTAAAATAATGTCACCTCATTGTACCCAGTTTTTGAAAATGCTTATTATGCTTTCATAGAGCGAATCTTTCGCTGATTGTTTACAGTTTAATGGAAGTTACCTCCCATATTTTTAGGTTATTTTTTTCCTGTTTTAGCCATTTTACTTCAACTAAGTTTGTGTTTTTTAAGTTAAATTTTTTACAATTTCTTTGTTAACCTTATTTCAATTACTGAAAACAATTTTAAATAGTTTTAGTTTTAGGTTCAAACTGAAAACTCATGAGACTGATTCAGTCTTTTTGACTGATTTATTAAAAAGAACCAGCGGGTTATTTGTTCGCAAGCAGTCTACACTGGTCGTGCTGTATGTTTGTTGTTGCATGCAGCCTGCAAGGACAATAGATAGCAAGATGTATTGTCTATTTACTGTTTTTGAAGGATTGTGTGGCAGGCAGTTTTTTTCTCATTCACATTAACAAACTACAAACTCAGCCAAAACATAATTTCACTATTGATTTACAATAGATGCGACATTCAGTATGACTTATCTGATTTTATACATTTCAGTGCAGTGTTTCCAGTATTTTTATTAAATTAAAAAAGTTCTGTTATTTTAGTGTACTATAAAGTGTATTAATAGATTCAATTAGAATGAGCTTTTATTTTAATATTTCCATTTTTTTAAATGCTTTGGATATTTTTTATTAGTTTTTGTTTTATTTCTATTTAGCTTCAATTTATTTTTTATTTCAATTTTACTTTTTTCAGTAAAAGCAATTTTAGTTCTTCATCAAATATTTACATTTAATTTGATTTCAGCTTTATTTCAGTTAATCCCCAACTTTTATTGTGTGTGTGAGCATTTCAAAGGATTTGTGTGTCTGTTTCTTTGTTTTTATTTGTTTGTGTTTGCTCGGCAGTGTGTTGATATTCCGGGTGTGTAAAAAGGTCTTATGCACTGGTCACATCAGTCAGCATCTAGAATTTAATTTTTTCTCACGTCTCCTCCATCCCGCTCTAATTGCATCCTTCCTATCTCAGATATTACAAGCTTAGCTAGTCTGTTTTGCCTGAGCTGAACGACTAATGAAACACAATATCAACACTATTAGATGTCTGACAGCTATAATAAGTACATAAATCCTCACGTATGTAATCCTCCCATGCATAATTGTCCTGCTCTATGGCCTGTTGAACAGCAATAAGAGCCTGTGGAATATCTCTTGTCACAGTGTATTTTGATCTGTCATTATAAGTCAGGCACATACACACTGCAAAGTTTAGATAACTGAACAAGGCAATAGCTATTGCCAACGTTTTGTGTCTAGAGGTAGTAAACAAGAAACATTGAAGTCAACAGTTTAACCTGATTGGTGTTAATTATTTTTGATGACTTTAAGACTACCGATGGAGGCATAGTAGTCTACAGAGGTATCATGTTTCGTTAATGCACTTAAATCACAAATTTCACAGATTTCATGACACTTTGATTGTTACTTCCTCATTTGTTTAGGAGGAAATTCAGATGTATAATACAGTTGTCTACAGTAACCAAACTCACTACGGTGTAATTACACAAATAAGTACTGAGTAATTTTAATTACATGGACTTCCTATAGGTTTAGGGTTAGTTCCTTTGAATTATGCATAATTTCCTGGCTTCACTACATATAGTAAGTACATGTAATGTGTAACAAGGACACTATGTTATGTCCTCAGACATATATGATATGTGGTTTGTGGGCATTTTCACTCTCCTCTCTCTTTAGTTTCTCTCTCCATGGCTAAAATAAAATGTTAGCAAATATTGGTGTTTGATAGTGATTGTTATATATATATATATATATATATATCAGACATTTATGTAGTGTTAGAGTTATTAATATTTTGAATTAGCTTATCTTTATATTTTTAGTTTTCATTTTAATTTGAGTATTTTTTAAAGTATATGCTGTAGTCATTTTTATTAGTTTTCATTTTTTTAAATTCATTTTGTTACTATATTTACTTTATTAGTTTTATTAAGATTTCTAGATTTAATATTTAGATTTAAATAATTTCTATTGCAGTTTTTTAAAATGTATTTCTTGTTAGGAATTTAGTTCAAACTATTCAAACTTATTTCAGTTATATGCAAAGGCATTTAATTGTTTGTAATTTTTAAAAAATGTTTTATTTAACTTTTTAAACGTTTTTTTAATCGAATATTTTTTTAATCTTTATTTTCATTAACAAAAATGTTTTAATACTTTTAGTTAAGAATAATAACCTTGCTCTAAGAGAAGTTACATCTCAAAATGTATTCCCTTTAAATCACACCTCTAAAAAATCAAACCTGAAAAGTGCCGCTGTTGAAGACTAGTTGACCATCCTGACCTCTTTCACATATAGAACCGGATGAAGCATTCAGTCGAGGAGTGACAGCCATATTTAGCAGCAACGTGTACATGGTCTTCTTGAATACAGTGTGCAGAATGCCAGAATAGATGTTGTGTGCTGTGTAGGCTTGGCATTTCAAACGACTCTCGAGTCTCTTCAAAGCTGCAAACAGCGAGCCAATGGCAGCATTTGATTTTGATAATGCCGCTCGTGTTTTTGTCCCTAAAAATACCCTCACACAGAAAATGACTGTAACACACACATGCACACACAGTCGTGCTGGTCTGTCATGCCCCTGGTCCCTGGGTTTGGCGATGACTGTAATTATTTGCTGACACTGTAGGTGAACCAGGCTGTAATAACAGGCTACAGCTACTCTGCTCTTTCATTCTGACAGCAAATCCCCGGCAGAGCCCTGAGCCCAGGGGACACTCAGACATTTACACAGATTAGAGGCATGAATGACTCAAATATAATGGAAAATTAGCGCTCTTGAGTTTACTAGTACTATATAGGGCCACATTTGTAGTTTGTGATTACAATGTGCTCTGCTAGTGAAGCCACAGTGAATGTAGCTCAATAAATTTTTGTCTTGTGAAATGAAGGATATAAAGCCGTCCAGTTTCACTATAGTGGCAGGAATGGCGAGATAGCTACGATTAAACGACTAGCAACACAAGAGCTTCCATCATGGCTGTCGACATTGCTGAGTAACATGTTCAGAAAGGAGAGTGCGCCATCTAATGGACAAAATGAGCGTTGCGGTTTGTGATAAATGGTGGTAGCACTTCTGTGACTATTAGTATTATGTGAACGAAATCCTTTAGAAAGCGTGATTAACTTTGATTATTTACATATCTTTTTCATCAGGTTGTGCTATCATTCGCCCACCAAGAGATGGAGGAATCAGATACAGGGGTCTGACACAGGAACAGGTGTGAAGATTTAATTTATTAGTAACTTATTGTATTAAACATGTATATCTGTGTGGGTTTAGATGGACTACACTGCTGTTGAAAAATTTGAGGTCAGTAAGATTTTTTAATGCTTTAAAGGAAGTTTCTTAAGCTCACCAAGTCTGTAAAATTCAGTAAAAACAGTAATATTGTGAAATATTACTAAAATTTAAAAAAGTTTTCATTTTGAATATATTTTCAAATGTAATGTGATTCAAAGCTGAATTTCCAGCATCGTTACTCCAGTCTTCAGTGTCACATGTTCCTTCAGAAATCATTTAATATGCTGATTTGCTGCTCAAGAAACATTTCTGATTATTAAAAGTACAGTTGTGCTGCTTCAAATGTTTATGGAAACTGTTAGATTTATTCAGGATTCTTTGATGAATAGAAAGTGCAGCATTCAGCGCAAATCTTTTGTAACATTATAAAATGTCTTTATTGTCACTTTTGATCAGTTTGATACTAAAGATAGTATTCAATTTAATATAAAATATTAATTTCCTTCTTTCAAATAAATAAATAAATAAATAATCTTACTCACATCTATCTTTTGGATGGTCGTGTATGCATTAGCGGTTACATTTGTTGTAACTGTGTTCTGTGTGTCTGAATGCAGATCCGCAGTGTTCAGGTGTTGCCGGTGGATTATGAAATCGAGTATATCTGCAGAGGGAACAGAGTGATCGTGGGACCAAAGGTCAGGAAGTGTCTCCCTGACGGCACATGGACTGACCTGAACCAGCGCAGTAAATGCTGTATGTTCTTTTCCCTATTCCCTATCTGTAAAGGTCTAAAAATGTGCCTATAAAACAGACTTTACATGGCAGCCTGTTTAATCAAGTCAAGTTCATCCATCTTCACAAATAAAAATAATGAAAACATTGCTTTAGGTCAGTGATGTGATGCCATAAACGTTCAGCTGGGAGCATTATGTATTGCAAGCGCACAAAAAAAGAGGAAAGATTTAAGTCATGATGACCTGCGAATGTACTAAATGAGGTCTAAATGAACTTGTAAGAAATATAAAGTATCATTTTTGACTTGTAAATGTGAAATGCGAGTTTTTTATATTTTTATATTTACAGTGTTCCTTTTAATTTTAGTTTAGCTTAAGTTTTAGTAATTTTGCTGTGTGCATTTTGTCATTTTATATTCATGTATTTATTTATTTTTAGCTTTAATTTTCGTCTCATTTTATGTCATTTTAGTATTTCAACTTAAACTTATTTTAGCTGCCAAGGCAACATTTCTTTTTTCATTTAATATTTATATTTAACTTAATTTCAGCCTTTTCTTATCTATCTGTCATAGACTATAATTCACAAATAACTCGCAATTCATTGTTTATATCCATGCTTATCACAACCCTACCGGACATTCAGTGCATTTGCATACAGCATGTTCATCAGGTGCCAGCGCATATATTTTCAAGACTGTTGACTGTCAGTAATAGCTGATTATGAGTTATTCCTGGCCATTGTTTTAGCCTGCATCTACATTCACAGGCTGTACTGAGCACATGGCATAGTTTCTACATAGAGGAGACTATTAATGTTGACCGTATTTAGTTAATTTAGTTACTACTGTAGTGGCTCTGCCAATTTTAGGGCAGCTTTTAATACTAATACAGCTCATCCAGTAAGAATTAAGTGTAATGTATCTCATTATTTGTTGAATTCATTAAAATTCAGAATACATCTGTGCTTTAATTTGGAAGAGATGTTGAAGAGCAGAGCGTTTAAAAGCAGAATGCGCACTAGATCACACAAATATGTCACCAAAGCCTACCATCCTGTCATGCTGAGTGAAAAATGCATAAGTGATGGAGGTGTTTTGTCACTGTTTTGGTGCGAACAGTAGGAAATCTGTTTATCAGGAAACCAGATACTGTATATCTGGTCATGTTTTAAAATGTCAACAAATATGTCAGATTTTTTCGTAGTAAGTCACACAGTGTATGTTTACCTACCATATAAATCATAACTTCTCTTTGACATCTGTTCTTAAATTAATCTGATTTAAATGACCTTACACTAACAGTAGCTCAGAAGGGAGTGCTTAGTGATTATGGTGATGTTTGAAATGGAATATCAGCATAATGCTTAGTGTAGCCATTTTCAAACTGACTCCAGGGGGCCACAAGGGAGGGAAAAGTTCGGAGAAAAACTGTGTAAAAAAATGAAAATAAAAGGTTAAGCCAGTAAAAACATAATTAGGTAAATAATAATATATATTTAAAAATAAATCTAAATCTAAAAATACAATACTGTAGTGATTAGAAAATGTATGCACAATAGAAATAAAATATTCTCTAAATAATGTTTTACACTTATTTAAAATATCCATTTTCACAGTCTGTATACATGAATAGCTGGCTTTTTAATTGTAGGATGGGGGTCTCTCGTATGAGAATGATCATAATTGGGTGTCCGTGGCATATAAGAGATTGAAAACCCCTGGATTAGTGCATAGTGTGCAGTATACAGTGTTCAGGAATTAAAAACAGTACACAGAATACTGTGATAAGCATTTCAGACAGTATATGCTACACTGCTGTCACATGACCTCATTAATTCAGCATCTATTTCGGATAATCATATTAAATCTGTCAAGAATGTGGTGTTCAAAACTGCGGCTGATCTGATAAATTCATCACACTAGGAAGGTCAAGCAGCATTGCATTGTGGGATATGGTATCCCATGAAGTGTGCTTTGCTGTCTGATGCACATATTGGCAGATGGAGAACAGCAGGTCATCCAGGTAAATGCCTGGGATTCATGGAATACTATATCCCACAATACAATTCTGCTTGTCTTAACCTTCCATTTCCAGTGCACATCATTTCCATGATACACTAATGTTCAAAAGCTTGGGGTCAGTATGATTTTTTTTATGTTTTTGAAGTGCTCACCAAGTCTGAATTTATTTGATCAAAAATACAGTAAAAATGTTAATATTGTGAAATATTATAACTTTTTCAAATAACTGTTTTCTGTGTTAATATATTTTAAAATATAATTTATTCCTGTGATGCAAAGCTGATTTTTCATCATCATTACTCCAGTCTTCAGTGTCAAATGATCCTTCAGAAATCATTCTAATATGCTGATTTGATGCTCAAGAAGCATATCTTCCTATTAACGTTAAAAACAGTTGTGCTGCTTCATATTTTTTATGGAAATCGTCATACATTTTTTTTGTCAGGATTCTTTGATGAATGGAAAATTCTGAAGAACAGCATTTAATTAAAATAAATATTTTGTAGCATTATAATTGTCTTTACTGTCACTTTTGATTTAATGCATCCTAGCTGAATAGCTCAGTGACCCTAAACTTTTGAACATTAGTGTATACTGAAGAACAAGCAAGAGTAGTATACTATTCTGAACTATGAGTTGAACCATTTTATTCTTTTGAGGACATTCTCAAAATTTTATTTTTGTCAGATTTAGCTAACATCTGGATACGTTTTTCAGCAGTTTTGTCCCCAAAAGTAAGCTAGGTCAAGTACACGTGCACATGCACACACACACACACATCACACACACACACACACACACACCATACCAAAACAGCTGTCAATTCAAACCTTTAAACTGTCCTGTGCTGTTTTAAAAAGGTGTTGACACAAAAGCGCTGATGCATTTGACAATCACTGCCTAATGCAACTATGAAGTACTACAGATGGCCGTTGAGCATATTGTGCATTATATAATTGGTCTCTCAGGGTGATACGTTCTGTTCTTGCCATCTTTTCATTGCTGACAAGATAAAAAATGAATGGTAAGACTGCATGCTTTATAAAGGTAAATTAAGGTAAAACAAGGTAAAGACTAATTAATCCTGTAAGGGAAACTTCCATTCCAGACTGCTCTCATGAAACATAGATCCTAAATGAATGTAAAGCACCTTTTAGCATCAAGTCAACACAACAGTTTTGAAGCATCACTGAGGTTTTGAATGGCATACAGTATATTTGTATAACTGACCCTTCGCTGTGGCGTGTGTGTGCTCTTCAGTGCTGCCGTGTGCGCGGGTGTGGACGTCTCTGGAGAACGGCCGTGTGACGGTTCACCCTCCAGGCCCAGCGGTGGAGGGCACGATACTGCACTACAGCTGTCTGGAGGGTTTCATCCTGGTGGGCAGAAACAGCACTAAGTGCACTAAACTGGGCAAGTGGGACTCACCCAAACCTGTCTGCCACTGTGAGTGCTAGTGTATTTGTGTACTTTCAAGATCAGATCAGTTTTATTTTTTATTCATTACTTATAATTCTTTTATTCTCTTTCTCCTGTGTTCTGCTTCTAATGTAGATGACAGACATTATACAGGTAAGAATGTTTTTGTATTCTTATGTATGATAAGACCAGTATTGTAATTACTGAGGAGACATCGTTACTTTGCAATAAACGGAAACTTTATAAAAGGACTAATTATCCAGAAGTTTCCAAACAGAAGACTCCCACAGCTAGGCTACAACTGCCATTTCCATGTTACGCCAAATTCCTTAGAAGTGAAGAATTTTTCAGTTTTGTTGCACACATTGGATTGAAACCCTCCTTTTTTCTCACATGAATTAAATTCGCTACTTGGACGGATATATAGGTAGTGTTATCTGTGTATAGGTTATGTGATCTTCAACATTTCGAATCAAGTAATAGATGCATTGGATCACTTGTTTATCATTTCCATTTTCTTATAAAAGCTGCAAGATTTGTATTTCATCCACTTTTTTTTTAGCATAGATGTAATTGGCAGCTTGGACAGGTGGGACATGTCCCCACCGCTTTTTGAAAACCATTGAAAAAATAGCCATGGGGAAAGCTTATAAAGCAAAGTAAAAGCATCTCGTTCTTCATAATTTAATTCATTGATGTAACAAAATACATTTGTGACAGTCAGGCTTGATCTATAAACCTTAGCATGCACACATCAGGATTTATAAACAATATCCAACGTAATTATGTGCAACACCACTCACTCTGGACCGTACACGCTCTTTTACTGTGGGATCGAGATGAAATAAACAGAATGCTTTATATTTGCACATTTAGATTAAATATACTACTCAAATGAATGAATGAATGAGTTAATCACACAAATTACATGTACCACTGCTACACATGTGCTGCTGGTGTTGTGCGGCTACTGTACATTACGCATTCAGTCACAAACAGCAACCAGAAAATGCCCACAAATGAGGGACACTGACACTGAAGCCTGATGTGTCATACAATTAAATTTATATGTGCATATTTCCTGCTTCTAGCTACCTGTTCAGCACATCCAATAAAGGGAATCAGTGCTTAATGTATATGGTTGCCATGACAACTTCACGCCCCCTTCCCCCCACAACCTAGTCCCCTCCACTTTTTAAGAAAGATATGCCAATGCTTTTTAGCAACTTAGAACCCTTGTGAAAAAGAGGTGCACTTAATTGTACCGACTCTGCACTGAGTGTACTTTGAATCTGTACTTGCAGGTAATATTAAACAATATTAATAAAATACAAGGCCACTTAAGTGTACTTAAAGAGAATACACTCTCATGAGTGTGTTTCTTAAAACCCATAAGTGCACTTTTAAAATTTTACATTAAAATGTTCACTTCATGTACATTATTATGTACATTATTATTATTATGTAAAGTACATTATGTTTTAAGTTTTTTGTTGTGCTTTAAAGGGATCATGAACTGAGAAATTAAAATTCCCTTGATCTTTTGACATAAGAGGTCATTGTACTATAAAAAAACATCCTGTAAGTTAACCGACGAATTGGGATCCCTACCAAAAGGCCACAGATACTGCCACTTCCAGTGTCCTGTGGGAGCCTCCTGCACCCCTACTTTTTGGTGCAGGGCAGGGCTTACCACAAGAGTGGTACGAATTGTCGACCGACTTTGAGGGTGGAGGGAGACAACCTTCGCTCTAACCCTTGCTGCAAACAGGTCAGCACTACTCGGGCATCTTCGGGGGTCTTCTCGGAGAGAAGAACACCACTCAACGAACAGGTTCCACTTCAAGCGTTAGCGTGTCTCGTAGACAGTGCTCTCGCTGAAGTGATGGTGTCAACTACCTCTTGTGCTCCTCGTCCTCACTGTCCTTGCACAGTGCAAGAAGGCTCATTGGGAGAAACGCATATTTGCGAAGGGCCCGCGGCCAGCTGTGTGCCAGCGTCCGTGCCGAGTTTTCCCTCGGTCAGGGAGTAGAACAACTGGCAGTGAGAGGTTTCTGGAGAGGCAAACAGGTCTACCTGAGCGGCTCCG